ATAAGTAATATGCATAGCTAAAGCTATAACTGTTGTCTCTGCGTCACCGTCTCCTGAATCAATCACAAAATAATTTCTTTTTGTTTCATCAATGAAGTGCATTTAGATGTGTATTTTCTGAATGCTGGCAACTCTCTTTCCATCTACGAGATTTGTTCATGAAATCCTTGCTTGTGTGGGTGTCTCTGTGCCTCTGAGACTTCTGTTCCTTCCATATCTAGTTTACAGAATGTGCTTCAAGTCAGGTCAGCTTGTTGCTATGTTCCTTTTTCCTGGTCCCATGCCCCTCCTCTCCTGGAGCTCAGTGGTCAAGCAAAGGACCTGCTCTCTGCCCTCAATGTCCATCTCCCTCCCTTTGTCTTGACAGCAAACTGCCACTGTCTACAACTCAGCATCTCTGATCTGGAGAACTGGCTTTTCTCCTTTGAAGGAAAGGACACCGATTCTCACCCCACTGTTCCTGGAGGCTCCCAGGGGGCTTCCTGTGCTCACTCACACTGAGAGTGCAGTTCCTGAAGAATCACCCCACACCTACAGAGGAGCTCTTATGTTTTCTTGGATTGTCACGTCATGCTCTAGTGTTCTGCCTGACTCAAGGACATCTGCTTGTTTTTTTCCTCATCTGCTTTGTGTCATGAATTATTATAACAATTAAGAATTTAAAAAAATCTTTTCATTTCTTCCAAGAGATTTGGAGGCAGTACACACATGCCGCCAAACAGCTTTATTTGGCAATTTTTTTAAATTTTCCATTAAATTCATTCATCAGAAAAAAATTATTTTTTCTGCAAAATGCTATTTACCCAGATTAGGGAAGCCAAATAAACGGCTTAAACATGTTCGTCATGTTCCTGTAGAAGGCAAGCCAGGCAAGTTTTATCTCATATTGTTTTTCTTTCCTCGTGATAATTGTGGAATTACTCTCTTTAAGCTTCAAATTGGCTCTTGTAGTCCTTGGTTTCTGCCACCCAGGTTTGTGCCCACTACTTGGCCAGTGGGATCACTGCCAGCTGCTGAAGATAGAGGGTGCTAAAGAACCGGAAGCCAGCTAGGTTAGTCCCTGTTCTTGTTGTGACTCCTGTTATACTACTCTCTGCGCCACCCAACAGATATTCACCTAAATGGCGCCTTGTTTGTTCTAACAGGGCAGCCTATTAGAAGTTTTGGGGGTGGTGAGAGTGGTTGTTGTTTTCCCCATCACTGGCAGAACTAATGGTCCTGGAGTTACTCTCAGGACTACATTCACTGGCATCTCCTAAATGTTTTGATCTCTAGCCCAGGCAGCACCCATCAGGCATCCTTACACAGTTAGCACCGCCCCAAACCCATGCTGCTCCCATTCAGCACACGCTCCCGTTGTCCTGACCCAAAGTTCAATAAGTCCCACATTCAAGCTTCTAAATAGCATTTTAAAAGATATGTTGTTTTTCTCCATCCTGTGTAAAAGAGTATGGAAATTTCTCAGCAAACTTCGACTTGAAGGACCATATGACCCAGCAATTCCACTTTTGGACACCTATGCCCCAGCAAATAAAAAGCACTCTCTCAAAAGGACATATGTACACTATTACTCCTTGGTGCACTCCATACAATAGTTAAGATATGGAATCAACCTAGGTGTCTAATGACAGGTGAATGGATTATGAAGATGTGATATATATACACAATAGAATACTATGCAGCGGCAAGGAATGATGAAATCATTTCATTTGCTGCAATGTCTTTGGAACTGGAAAATATGTTGAGTGAAGTAAGCCAGAAGAAAGACAAACAGGATGATCTCACTTACCTATGGTACATAGAACCCTAAGTGAGAAAATGAATTGTAGTAAAAGGGTGATGCCTAGATAACCCTTGCTCCCAGTGTTTAGACAAAAGAAGGCCAAAAGAGGAAAGAAATCAAAGGGGGAAAGAAAAGAATGGGAAATAATGAGTGAACAGGCACCAGGGCTTCAGTTCTACCAGTCATATGAGTGAGAGATCGCCACATACTCAATACACAGACTCAACAAAACCGAAAACATGAGGTCTAAGTCGTAACCAATGTAACTTTGTAATAGGCCAGTGAAGGTGACAAGTTGGGGTGGGCTGGGTATTGGGGTGGGGAGGGAATATGGGAACACTGGTGGAGGGAAGTTAACACTGGTGATGGGACTGGTGTTAAAAAAAATATGCCTAAATCTCAACTTACAGTTCTTTAATTTTAAAAAATGTTGTTTTGTTTTGGGGTTACACACGCCTAGAAGTATATGGTGATTATTTCTGGCTCAAGGCTCAGGTATTTCTCCTGGCAGGTCTCTCAGAGGATAAACACATTCTGTGTGAGGGGTCAAACCCTACTGGCTGCATGCAAGTCAAGCAGTTGCCTTATCTACTTCTCTCTCTCTCTTTCTCTCTCTCTTTTTCTGTCCCATAAATATAATCACATTAATATCTCCCTTTAATTCTGAGTCTCAGAGATGTTGTAAGAATCCTTAGGGTTTTCTTTTATAAATGTTAAAAGTAAGCATTGATATTAAATTCTTAAATAAGAGGCTGGGGCAATAGTACAGCAGGTAGGGTATCTGCCTTGTATGTGGTCAACCCAAGTTCAATCCCTGGCATCCTATATGGTCCCCTGAGCACCACTAGGAGTAAGTTCTGAGTGCAGAATCAGGAGCAACCCCTGAGCACTGTTGGATATAGCCCAAACCACACCTCTCCAACAAAACCCCTACATTCTTATGCCAATCATTAAACAAATGCCTTGGTTTCTAGCTTCTTATGGGTTCTGGGAAATACATTTTCCTACCTATCATGCATCTCTTTACATACCTGGATAATCTGCTACTTTACTACCACTCTTATTAATTTCTTCACATGTGAGAATATTGTATTCTATCTACACAGTTTCCTGGAATATTAAAAAATATGGGTAAAGAAAAATGGATATTCTGCTTTCCTAGTTTCTCAGTTTCAGACCAATTAGTCTTTGATGACTTTAAAGGGCAAGTAAAAGCATTTTTGTAGTTATTTTTTAAGCTAAGTTTTGCTCACCCCAAGGCACCAAAATCCTCCTCACCTCACCATATGCCTTTGGAAATCTTACGATTTCGGTAGGTTAATGAGTGGCTACTTTTCCAGTAAAGGCTTGGGAGGCTGCTAACTTCAATGAATGGGAACTGAGTGAAATATAATGATTCCCAGGTATTTCCATGCTTTCTTAACTCTTGATTTAATTACACATCCTCTTATAAACATGCAGCAAAGAGAATAAACATGTTTATATATTTTATGCTTATGCTTGATTTATGTACAAAATGAACAAGGCTAATTGGCTGTGAGTTGTCAGACAGATGAAGGTAGGAAAACAAAGGAGACCTCAGAAGGGCTGGTCAGCCCTGACACTCTTCATCCTACCCCAAGGGATGAAATATCAGAGTTCACACATAGAGAACTGATATTAAATATCAGAGTTCACATACTGAGTTCCCTGTAGCAGCTCACTGGCAGAGAGTAGTCACATCACTGGTTTGAACAATCAAAGACTCCAGATGAAAAATAACATCCTGCCTACAAGACCTGGACATGTTTATAGTCAACTTCCCAGAACTATTAAATAATAGCAACTCAGAGACCAATACCATCTGCTGCACTGAAGCCTGACTTTGAATGCTCATGTCTCATTCAGACTCTGACACCGGGAGAGTATGGACAAGAAGCTGAGCTCTCTCTGCTGTCATCAGAAAATCAACTTAAAGGACCTTGACTATTAGTGCCAGTACCTCAGATGTTTTCAACCGCTGGCTAGCAAGCTGATGTGGAACAAAAGAGTCAGAGAATGACCCTTATTCTGCCAAGATGATAAAAGAGGATAATTTTACCACCAGGTTAGAGCTGCCAGGCCATGTCTGAGATGGGCCTAATTAAGCCATAGGGCAGCAAGGCCAGCTGGACACAGAAACTGCTTCCAGACTGAGCAAGTAAAGGTGAGACACTTAGGTCTATCTATCCTGTACAAAAATAACTAGGTGACATTTCCCAAAAGATGACCTCATTAAGAACTTTAGCTTCAAAAACAAAAGCAATAACAACAAAAACCCACATTTCTCCTTCCCAACCAAGAACGATAGCTGTTATTATTTAGGTGAAACCAAAATGTCATTTTTTTTAAACTGGCAATTCGTTTATTCAAGTTTTTAAAAGAAAGTCAGAGAAGATGACCTCCCCTCCAGTAATTCTTTAGATCTTGCTATAATTTCTTTTAAAAGGTATACATGCAAAACTTATTGAATCAGAGTTCCATTTTCATCACTGCTTCCTGATAAAAACCTACCAATGATTAACTTTCTATGCTCTGATATTAATTCCATCAAAGTGCTGCCTTTCATAAGAAACTATTGTTAACATTTAAAGAACATATTTATTCACTTAAATATTTTTAAGCACCATTTACACATTAAGCACTTTCCCAAGTACTGGGAGGCTTTTGAGGAGTAACAAAGACAATAAATTAATTAGTTAAATTAATTAGTTTTCAAATTATTTTCTGTGTGTGTGTGTGAGATATATATATATATATATATATATATATATATAGAGAGAGAGAGAGAGAGAGAGAGAGAGAGAGAGAAAGAGGCAGAGACAGAGACAGAGAGACAGAGAGGGTAATTGTGAGCTGTGAAGTAAATGGCAGATAAATGGTTGAAAGATTAAACCATCATGTTGAAAATTATCTAAATAAAGCTCAATTGATACAAAAGCAGACCTAATTTGACAATTTGTCAATAAAATTTCTATGTTTTACATTCAAATTAAATATACAGCAAGTCCTATCTAAAATAATCCTTCCATTCAAAATCAATTGACTCTTATGCTCAAGACAGAGAAAAAAATCCTAGCTAGCACTGAATGAACATTATTTGAGTCTCAACTTTCTCTTTATGTCGCTGTACATAAAGCTGAAGTCTCCTTCAGACAAGCAATGATGTGTGTGAAGATTTTGTACATAGTTCACTCACCGCTATTGTTTATATCCCACTCCATTCCTTGAGTTCACTTTTCCTCTTGTTGGAATCCATACTTGTATAGCTCTCTCAGCAAGAATCTGTAAGAGATAAACTCAATAGAATTTTCCTTGCATATCACAATTTTATTTCAACTTCATGCATATTCATGGATGGTTATGGTACTCAGACTGTGAATCCTTTTACCTAAGGACTTAAAATTTTCCTTCTATTGCTTCCAGGAATGATCACTTAAAAATGTAACAGTCACCAAAATAGTTAAGTTTTTGAGGCACAAAGATACTTTAATAAATAGTAAAAACACCATTTTATCCAACTTCACTATGTTGGAGTGTTGAAGGAGGCAGTCAGTACATTAATTAGCAATTAGAAATTTTATATTTACTTCTCCAATGCACTTTTAAAATAGGAAGTGTTTTAAAATTGTTCTTATGCATCTTAAAAATTGTCTCGGAATAACAAAAGAATGATAACAGATACAATACTATGGCCAAAAACTAAAAGTGGTATAGATCAGCTATATGCAGTGATGACTTGCTGCTCCTTAGTCTATAAACTCAATCTCAGTAATGTTTTTTCCCCTGATTTTTAAAAATAATTTTAATTGCTTTAGAGAGTAGTATTAACTACACAGAATAATTGAAGAGAAGTAGGCCAGAGAAAGAAAGAGAACAGAGGTGAAGGAACTAGCCTTGCATACAGCTAACTTTGTTTCAATACCCAGCAACTCATATGGTCCCCTGAGTGAGTGACCAGGAGTGACCACTGAGGCAAGAGCTAGGAATAACCCCAAGCACTGCTGAGTATGGCCCAAACAACCACCCACAAAATAAATAAAAATAAATCATTGCTATTTTCAAGATCATTTGGATTGTTCTCTATGCTGTTATCTAGAATATTATAATTTTGCATTTTATGTTTAGGCTTTTGATATGTGTATTTTAGTGAAGAGTATAATGTCTGTGTCTAGGACATTTTTTTCATTCATGATTGTCTACTTATTCCAGTACCACTTGACTCTATTTAGGTGAGGCTATTAGGCCCATTCCATTCGGTTCTGATCTATTTCTCCAATTTTCATCAGTATTACAGCGGGTTCATCATTATAGGTAAATCTTAAAGGTGGATGGTGTCATTCCTCCAGCTACATTCTTCACTTTCCCACTGTGTTGGCGCCTATAGATATTTTGTTTCTCCAAATAAACTTTAACATCAGCTTATCAATGGACTGAAAAATGTGTACATATAAGGTGTTAATACATCCCATTTCACCTATTATTAGGAATTTTATTATGAATGGATATTATTTTTCACCATAAATCTTTTTCTTATTGTAAGTTTGATTTTACTTTTTAAATCTGGAACAAGGCTAAGAAATTTATCTTTTACATAGAAAGATAATTCTAATTCTCATAATCTCAAAACTACATACTGAAATCCCCAGTGATAGGCAGTTTACATATATTGATCTCAGGGACACCATGAAATCTAATTGTGGTTTTACCAAAGTGTTTTAAACTGTCGAATCAATGGAGCATCTATCACTGTCATTCATTACAGACTGCTGGGCTTCTGGTCCTTTCTATGTCAGCCCAACCCAACTACAGTGCAGTCTCCATTCTCAGACACAAGCTGAGGAAATCACTTGAAGTTCTGGTTTAGTGTTTTTTGTTATTTTTCTCACAGTGTCAAAATTTCAAATTATTTTTCTCTTCTTGGTAACATAATGTCAGACTAAACATAGAAATGAGAAGTTATTGGTGAGAAAAATGTCTAATTCAGTAACATTTGAAAACCACAGAGAGAAGATCAGTTAAATTCAGCAGACCAAAGATTTTCTTTTCATTAACACAACCATTCTATCATCAAATTAAAAAAAATTTTTATTACACATGTCCCTGAGTACTAATCTAAAGTACCATTTAGAGTACCAATCTAGAGTACCATCTAGAATGCCATCTGAGTACCAAATAAAAGGCCAGTGGATTAAAAAATGCTTTTAACCAGGAAGATGGGGCCTTAAAACTTGTTTTTATTTCTTATCCTTATTTTAGGTAATAAAACCTAAAATTAGGTTGAAATATTTTGACCTACACAGAATTCTTCTAGGGAAAATTGATATCTAAGTTCTAAGACCAAGGGGCAGAAGAATAAGAGCTTCAAAAATTGTTGGCAGGGTCAGATTACAGGGACTTTCCATTGATAAGGAGATGATCATATATCCTTACTGTTTCATCCCTTCCCTGTAGCAGATCAGTGACCAGTCAAGGCAGGTTCACTTACTTCTTAATGTGCTAGGAGGGAACAGGGTGGGATACGAAGAGAGGTCTGTAACATAGTTTTGTGTCCTGAGTTCTACCCTTATTTATTGATTTTTTTTAAATTGTTGTTCAGAGCTTGCAGAGAGCACGCTTACTTCCTGTCTTTGAGTTTATCCCATGATGAAGGGATTTTGTGTGGCTGAGCAGAAGGAATAGTTTTCACAATGAAGAAAAGTAACTCTCCTTGGCTATTCTTTATCTAGCTACCGGTTCCTTTCTCCCTGCTGAATATAAAGTACATTCCCTCATTTGCAATCACCCTTTAGAAATTTTGCTCTTATTCACTGTGGCAGAGAAGATAAAAAGTGATTATGGCTTCTATCCTGAGCCTCAGATCCGGGTTACAGCTGACGAGTCTATACTCTAACAGGAAAATACAATGTTAAATGATTGCTATCTTGCTGGCTTCCTATACAATTCAAAGAAAAATTGTGAACTGAATCCACTTGAAAAAAGGAACTATTTCATTATGTCTTTACAAGTTACATTCTCAAAGCAAAACCTTTGTCATTAAACCGCTATGTACCTACTCCTTTCTAAATCCTGGGCAATGTGAAAGTGATAAGTAAACCTTCCCTCTGAAATTGGTACCAACTAAATGGAACTAGGAAAAAACATCTCCCATTGTACATTTAGAAATAATTCTTTCATCTGCTTCTTGTTACCAAAATGTCAGGTGGCTGAAACATCAAAGTTAGTCATTGATGTCTTGACTAAACTATTCATTTTGCCTAATATTTTTTATACTTTTCTCTCCTTCCTTCCTTCCTTCCTTCCTTCCTTCCTTACTTCCTTCCTTCCTTCCTTCCTTCCCTCCTTCCTTCCTTGCTTCCTTCACTCTTTCTGGGGCCCAAATCCAAGGGTTAGATTTAAATAGACTTACTCTGTTATCTTCATTCCTTTTTCTATATCCCACCTGTATATGAATGCAAGCCTCTGATATTTGTCTTTCTTCTTCTTTAGCATAACTCCTTCATTTTCATTCATATTGTTGCAAAACACAATATTTCAACTTTCCTTAGAGATGAGTGATACTCAAGTGTGTAGACACACCACAACTTCTTCATCCATTCCCAATATTTTCATAATTTTGGTTAGAAATAGCACAGCAATGAACACAGGAGTGCACATATGCCTTAAAATTTCTGTTTTGTAGCTTTTTACAGATACATAGGCATGGAATTTGTGAATCATATGTTAAGCCTATTTTTTAGCACTTAATAAACCTCCATCCAGATTTCCAAGGTCCGGATTGATAGCATAGCCGGTAGGGCATTTGCCTTGCACATGGCCGACCTGCGTTCAATTCCTCCACCCCTCTCAGAGAGCCCGGCAAGCTACAGAGAGTATTCCGCCCACATGGCAAAGCCTGGCAAGCTACCTGTGACGTATTTGATATGCCAAAAACAGTAACAACAAGTTTCACAATGGAGAGGTTACAGATGCCCTCTTGAGAAAATCAATGAACAACAGGAAGACAGTGCTACAGTGCTACTGATTTCCAAAGAGACTGGACTAATTTATATTACAAGCAACAATATACAAGGGTTGTTTTACTCCATAATACCTCCAATATGTTGCTTCTAGTCTTTGTGATACAGGGCAGAAGTGATATCTTATCAACATTTGATCTGAATTTCCCTGAAAAAATCAGGGATGATGATCATTTCTTTTCATATGGTTCTTGGTCACTTGTAAGTTTCTTTGGAGAAGTATCTATTCATTTCACTGCCCAGTACTTAATGAGGTTAAGGTTTTTTAAAATTTTTTATTAGTGAAACACCATGAGGTACAGTTGTAGACTTTCCTTTCCCTGAGTCACTTTTTGGCTTTCCCTGAGTCACTCCTCAGTTGTGGAAGTCAGTCAGTTATCTCTTTGTTTCATCCAGTTGGAGTTAGGCTGTGAAATCATTTGCAATAAAGCCAAGTCTGAACTGATATATAAACAGACCTCCAAGCACAGGTAGGATTCTCATTTTGTAAGTTCGCTTAAAGGGATTCATGATTTTCCCATCTTGTAGGATATTATTTTTTTAAATTTTTATTAGTGAGACACCATAATGTACATTTGTAGACTTACAAATTTTCATGCTTGGGTTTCGATTATACAATGATCAAATACCTATCCCTCCACCAGTGCCCATTTTATACCACCATGGATCCCAGTATCCCTCCCACCCCCATCCCCCCCATCCTACCCTGCCTCTGTGGCAGGGCATTCCCTTTTGTTCTCTCTCCCTTTTTGGGTGTTGTGGTCTGTAAAAGAGGCACTGAGTGGCAATCATGTTCGGTCCATAGTCTACTTTCAACATGCAACTCCCATCCTGGGAGGATCCTCCCAACACCCTTTATTTGGTGCTCCCTTCTCTATATGAGCTGCCCTTTCCCCTAACATGCCCGGCTGGCCTCTAAGCCATGGAGGAGATCATCCTCCTGGTACTGATCTCGGCTATTCTTGGGTATTAATCTCCTATTTTGTTACTTTATGTTCCCCAGATGAATGCAATCTTTTTATATCTATCCCTCTCTTTCTGACTCATTTTGCTTAGCATGATATTTTCCATGTAGTACCACTTGTATGTAAATTTCATGACTTCATCTTTTTTTTTTTATTAATGAAGCACCATGACGTACAGTTGTAGATTTACAAATCTTTGTGCTTGGGTTTTGGTCATACAATGATCAAACACCCATCCCTCCACAAGTGCCCATTTTCCACCATGGATAATATCCCCCCCTCCCCCCCTCCCACCCTGCCT